AAAGGGAGCCGCGACACGGAAAAGCCAGTTCGAAGGGTAGAATCAACAGTTCTAAGTTCGAAGTCTGAAGGTTAGAGTTCAAAGTCAGCAGCTCTACTTAGACGCCAGAAGTCTCCAGAATCGCTGTTCAAACTCATCCTCCCAGTACAAAGTAGTAGTCCCTTTCATCAGAACGAGTCAACTGTCTAAGGTTCCAACCTGAGCCGATAATATTCTATTATCTCGCCGTTCATCGAGATCGGCCATTCCTTCGGCTTTCCAGCTTACTCGAGCGAATCAACTATCGATCAACGGTCCATCAACCTCTGAGGACTCTTCCGCAGAGCCCAGCAGAAAGGACAGACTCAACTTGACCACAGAGCATTCCTTCCAATTCCCCTAAAACTCGATCAACCAATTGTAAGTGTCAATGTCCTTCATTATCCTATTTCTCTACTTTTCTCCCTATTTTTCCTCTGACGGTTTTCACCCTGGGTTTACGCGAAATTGAGTCACTTTTTTTATTGCATAAATTATTTTATTGGTGTAACTGGTCTCTTTCTCTTGCTTTACGTGTTACATTTTCAGCGTATTTTAATACCTTATCCCGAACATAACGATCCCGATTAGTTTTACTAAAGAGATAATCAAACTCCGGTTTGTCTCATCATCGCGGTAACTTCCATTCGTGACTGGTAACGGTCAGGTAAGGGTCAGCAGGTAGATATTCTTTCTCTCTCGCTCTCACTCAAGACACGGTTGTCCGCAACACTATATTGGACCCAGGGGAACATAGTTAATTCGTAAAATTCAAGGTGAAAATTCTCCATCAGAATAGACGACAACTAAAGATTGACGGTTCTGAAAATTTATTCATTTATAGGATTCATATACAATTGTACGTATATTGTTTATGCTCGTTAGGATATTATAATTCAAAATTTTGAACATTACACATATGAACAAATCCTACAGAATTTCGTAGAGGATTTTTTATAGGATTCCTTATCACGTATTTCCTGTTGTATTTCTTATAGGATGTCCTATACGATTCCATACGAAATTTTCAACAGGGTTTCCTGTAAAATTTAGGGGCATCAGGGTTAATAGTCTCATATGGGAATCATATGAGTCATATATGGGTCATAAAGGGTCATATTAGAATCATTTAAGGGCAATATGGAGGTCATATGAGAATCATATGAGGTTCATGTGGGGTCATAGAGGGGTTTCATGGGAGTTATATAGAGATTACATGAGGGGCATATGAAGGTCATTTGATTCTCCGATGACCTCCGTATGACCCCCGTATGTCCCTATGTGACGCTCATATAGCCCTTATATGATCCTTATGACTTTCACGACTCCCACATAATCCCCATATAACCCTTATACCACCCCAGATGACCTCGCTATGGCCTCCATATAACCCTTATATGACACCATATGACTCCTGAATTTCATAGGAAATCCTGATGGAAAGCTTATGGAATATCCTATAGGAATTGCTATAAGACATCCTGTAGGAAATCCAATTGGGAAGTCAAGAACTCGAATACTCTATCTATCGGACGGGATAGGAACCCGTGTAAGGTTGCGAGTCCTATCTCTTCTAAGGAGCTACTGTCGAGTGGCGAAAATGTGAACCCGTGCATGTAGGGTCCGCGACCTACGCCCCGCCCATATCTGAGTTCCCAATAAGAAAAACCTGATAGGAAATCTTATAGATTTTTTCATATGTGTGGACTAAGCTGGCTGTTTACAATTTTTCTTGTGTTAATAGGCACAACGAAGAATAAAAAAATGGGTTATCATGGATATTCGTAATCGATAGTTCAAGAACTATATTTTACATTATTCAATCAAAGTTACGAATTTCCTCATTTCATTGTGCAGCATCTTCTGCTCGATTTGTTTTTACGATTTCTTTTTTCAGTAAAAAATATACTTCTTAATTTATAATTCAACGCTTATATTTCTTATTGTGGAGTCTTACGTTTGGATTCAGTGCGTAAAGATGAAATGAATAGTACAGTGGTAAGTAAAATACAAAAAGTCTCACAAGGGACAGAGATTAGCAGAGTATTTCATTGTTTACTCTGTTGTATTAACAGAGTATTTTACTTCAGAATGAGAAATGCTTTTGTATAAAATGTTATCCACAGAAAGAATCCTCTTGAAATATTCTCATGAAATTCATCGTTCCTTCGCAATACTGGTATAAGTTGAAAAAAATTAAGCAATTCATCGGCAAATCTCATCCTGATCTCCGTCTCAGCAGAAATTATTGCGATTTGTTTTATGATCAATTCAAATCAATCTTCATGAAGATCTTTTTATATTTCTCTGCAAACCATTTAGTTTGAGCAATATTCACAAAATAATCTATCGGAAAATTTCCGACTCTTGCCCCGTCATGATAAAGATGATTTTTCGATAAATTGAATAAATGGATTGATAAAAATAAATTTTTCGAACTCTGCCTAGTAATCAGTAAAGATTGAAATCGTACAGCTTGAATACAAACCAATCAATTTTAATCGGTGAATAATAATTGTCGTGAATAATCATAACACTGTGAATAATAATTACACGTTGCAACAAAATAAGACCGAGTTTTTCTCAAACAATGAAATTAACACCACTCATCAATTTTTTCACGCTGAGTTCAGCATTTTTTGTTTAATTTCTCTAGTATGTCAGGTTTTAGAGAAACACCAATGTTGAAGTTGTGAAATTGATCGGAAATGAAATTTAAAAAAATTCAAACGCAATTAAATGTAAATAAAATTTAATGGACAAAAATAACAGAAAATAGTTGAAGAATCATCCGATCTGTTAGAATAAACTGCCTCCAATTTCATGACATGAATTTGCAAAAAAAATCCTGAAATTCATCAATATATTTGAAATGTCTGTTGATTAACCCCTCAGAAGGCGCGCGATAGTCCCACCGTTCTTTAGGCGCGCAGTGAGAGAACATTCTCATGTTACGGGTGCACTAGATGGAGAGAGGCACATGCTCTGGTGTCCTCACTCTAGCCGCTGACCAGCAATCCAAATGTTTCTTATATCTTCAAAATTTTTGAGAGAGAAAGTCTCCTAGCGCTCGGAATTGACTTCGTATATATTTTCAACTGTTGGAATTAATTTAACAGCCCAACAGTTATTTTCGCAATGGCTCAAGGTTATGGAAATTAACTCTGAGAATCTTTTCCGGCAGCAATTTTTTCGGCGTAATGCGGAAATATACTATTCTTATGAGAAGAGAGTATTTTTACATGTGCTTCATAAAATGAAGATTACGAGGATTAAATGAGCAAAAAGAGTGAACTGATCGAATAGGACGCGTAGAGAGATCCATAGACAAGAGACAAGTCGATCGATGACAAGGGTCAAGTTCGGAGACGATTGAAGTAATTGAAAGGGTTAAAGGGGGAGAGGTGCGTAGTGACCACGAGGATCAATATTATCTCGTCATTCTTCTAGCAGCTTTGCGATCTCTTTATTTGATCCTTTTAATCGCTTCACTTCTCTGCCTTATTTGACACTCGTAATCGCTCTCCTCGTCTCTCCTATATAGCATTAATTTTCTGGCATGAACTTATTAACATATTCAAGATTTACAAGTTTTCGACAAAGTCAATTTTTGAATCAATTTTTTGATGGAAGACAGAGATGTATGAGATGAATGAAATTTTATGGGAATTAAAAAATGTCTGAGGTCATTCAGAAATTCTGAAATACCTTCATATTAAGAGAAATCTCCAAATACCTTCATCACCCTTGAGCCCTGACTGTTGGGTTTTATTTCATGAATTGCAAGCAAAAGCACTCGTTTCTTATAAGGAAATTTATTTCTAAAAGAATCGATTTTGGTTGGTGAAAATTGTGTTCAGGAGACGAGAAAAGTTGGAAAGATAGTTTGCGCGAATTCTGAATCAGCCCGGAAGACATAAAAGTTGAGGAACATGGAACTAAGATAGAACTGGCCTTCTGGGGGCTTCATGGATCCTCATCGTGTTCGTGTAGCAAGACCTCATAATGAATTAAACGCGGGATGTAAGGAAATTCGGCATTGGGTGATAGAGAAAAAATACTTTACATGGAATGCATCAGTCTCCGAACGATAATTCCACAATTGACAAATTTCCTTTTGAAAGTCTGCCAATATCACTTCCAAAGAAAAATCATTTGAAAAACTTTTCAGAATTCATTTCCCTAATCTTTAACGACTGCGAAAATAACCACGTGGCCGTTGAATAAATTTTAGGGGGTTAGAAATATGTACGACGCCAACTTCCCAGACTTCACTTAATCAACAGATTGTTCAAATAAATTCATGAATTTCAGGATTTTTTCCAGCAACATCACGTCACGGAATTGGAGGCGATATATTCTAACGGATAGAATGATTTTTCAACTATATTCTAAATTCTATTATTTTTTTCGTTTTAATTCTATCTACAATCCATTCAGTTTGATTTTTTGGAACAATTCCATTGTCAACCAAATTTATAACTTTAACATCTTTTTCTCCAAAGCCTCCGCGGAAAAAATAGTATTTTTCCGGCCTGTTGCGATGGGGTTTTTTACTCGTGTGGCGTTGGCCTCCGAGCCGAAGGCGAGGACTGCCCAACCACACGAGTAAAAAAACCCCATCGCAAAAGCCCAGGAACAATATTTTTCTGCAGTGATTTTCAAGTTTTCGAGTTTGGGAAGTATGTAATACCAATTCCCAGACGAGAAATCGTGAGAAGCAGTACAGAAAATTACTTTTGCTACAGAAACATGTTCTTTGGAGAAGAATTTATTTTTTTAGGAGCGTATTTCTCCATCCAGACATTCCCAGGTAGTCCGAATCCATCGTCAAATATTACAATTATGTTGGATTATGGGATGATTATGCTGCATAAGATCTGGAATAAACTCCATTGACAATTATAAACATTTAGAATTATTTCAAATTATTGTACGTAAGAAAATCTCAAATGTCAAAAAAATGGAAAAATAATAAAGGGTATTCATTCAAGGTCATATGTGGCATAATCATCTCATAATTCAACATGATTGTAATATTTGGAAATTTACATAGACTATCTGAGAATGACTGGCCTCAGGAAATACGTTTCCAAAAAAATAAATTCTTCTCGCAAGAAAATGATTCCTCGGCAAAAGCATTTTTTTCTCGGTGGGACATGCTAGAGAAATTCTACAAAAAACGTTGAATTCAGTGTGAAAAACTCTGTGTGGTGACACCGCGATAAAAGTATTATCTGGCTTATGTGATTATAATGCTCGCTTTCAGCTCGGATTATGAAGTCACATTCGTCAGATAATATTTTTATCGCCTGATGACATAATGTAGTATTTTAGTCAAAAACTTGACCTTATTTTGTGGCACCGTACTATTAAACTGTTTTGTTTTTTTCGTACAGCTTCCTTATTCTATTGTGAAATATTCGTCGATTAGTTGTGTGCTGTGTCTGTTTAACACATTCTTATTTGGTGGATTATTTACATTTACCACGAAATAGATTTTTTTCACAATGGATTGATAACGTCTGAGTACTTATAGATTAATTGTCTGTTTGTTTTTCGTTTTGAATGTTGTTTACAACTCACTTGTCAAACACTTGGACAGAGGGTATGATTACGGCGATGTGTTGTCAGATATACTCTGCCTCCAGGTTGCGTGGAACGGGATCTTCAATATTTTCACTCTGGTTTTGGGCAATGCAGTAAGTAATAGTTTTTGAAGTTGAGGGAGGGGAAGAATGTCCACTTGTGGATTTGTTAAGGTTGATTGTCTCTCCTCTGCAAATAAACAAATAAACATATGGAAATTATGATAATTGTTTAGTAGTAATACCACAATCATTTGCTCCTAAATTATGAAATCTTTCCGACACTCTCATTCCATAGCAATACATGTATTAGGTTTTTGTAGATTAAAAATGTCAAGTGCGTGACACAAAAATGTTTTGAATCCCGGAAAAAATAGACGAAGGGAAATTTTCAGTGTGGGTGGGTTTTAGCACGTTTTGGGTGGGGGGGCTATTTTTTCTGATCTATTTTTTCCGCCTACCGGAAAATACAAGAAAATTACGAGTAACCTCAACACTTATTAACTTCGCGACCCGAAGGGAGGAAGATATGGTAATTACCCCGAAAATCCAATGTGGAATTTCGATGATTTGTCGACGATTCATAATCCCTGCAAGAGAAATATTCAATATAAATTCAATAAAATATTCAATAACAATTACGTAACTTTTCTGTAATTCCGGAGCGAAATGTGGTTGTAGGAAATTTTACGGAACTGTCACGGAATTTTTCCAGAGCGTGCTGTAATTTTCATCTGAATCTCTTGTGAAAAATTACGATACCGTCACTTAAATTATCTGAGTCGATTCCGCAATCGGTGAGTGAATTGTGAGTTCCGTAATTTTTACTGAACATTTCTCTCCGTGTAGAATCATCCTGATACGTTTTTCTAGACACGTTTATATGTGTATGTGTGTGATCAAAATTTTATCCAACGATATCTTTTGAACAAATTAAGCAATTCGAATAATTTTTTTTCTATTGTTATGACTCCATGTACAATAGAACTGATTAGGTTGCAAAGATAATCGCCTTAGCGATTGTATAGTTATACGCATAAAAGGATGTAGTGGAATAAGTATATGGTGAAAATGCTCCCAACCAATTTTGAATAGCCAATTTTTTTTATGTTCATCATGATAAAATATGCCTGTATGCAAATTTTCAGATTTTTATTCGCATTCCTGCGAGTTTTATGGGGGAAAAAAACGATTTTTTTTACTAATGTCATGTTTTTCAGCCATCAAAAAGTGTTCTAAAAATCTGAAAAATCAAAAACATTTCAACATTTATGTGACATTTTTTAAGTTATTCTTTTTACAATAATTTTAATTTTGAAAAATTGATTCACATTTCAAAAATTTATTCCAACATGATTAGATGAAGATGCAACTTTGAAAAAAATCATCACCTTTTATTCCATGTTTTTCTATTGAATAAGGCGAAGAAAGCTGTCATTTTTTGCTTGTGCCATACCGAAAAAAAAAGACTAATTTTGGGGTTTCTTTAACTGAAAATCCACTTATAAATCATTCGTTGGGTCTTGTTAATAAACTCTAACACTTATAACAGGTATTTTTCATATTATGCGAGTATAATCACTCAATATTTGCCCATAAATTGGATTTTTTTAGATCGTTCGCATTATTCTATCATTTCACGCAGAATGAATCTTTAATTTTCAGTTATAAATCTCTGGGGAAATTACATTTATCGATTCATATATATTAATTGATATATTTTCATTGTACACTAGGGGTTTAGTTCACGTGCTCGCTCCGCTCGCCAACCCCTATATGACTTACATCTGACCCCCATATGATTTCCACGTGACCTCCATATAGTCCGATATGACCCCCATGACCCGTAATCTGACCCTCATGTGCCTTATTTTGACCTTAATGACCCTTAGTTTCTGACCCTTATTTTGCAGTTTTCATTTCGAGTAGCAAATTTTCATCACCAGAAGTCGTTAGCATTTTCATAATATAGAGAGACTCCGCATCCCTCGGTCAAGTCGGGTGAAGCTATTGAAACAAAAAAAAAAAGTATTCTCGCCGTCGATTTTTACTAAAAACCTACAATAAGTCCATGATTTTATGTTTTTTCGAAAAGAAAACTGGAAACGCATAGAATATATGAACAAATATTAATTGAATATACTAGCATAATATGGTAAATAACTATTACAAGTATTATAATTTATTAGCGAGGCCCAACGAATCATTTATGAGTAGATTTCTAGTAAAGAAAACCCCAAAATTTGTCAATTTTATTTTTTTTCAGTATGGCTCGGGCAAAAAATCCAAGTTTTTCACGTTATTCAATAGAAAAACATTAAATAAAAGGTGGTGGTTTTTTCCACAGTTGTATCTTCATCTAATCATGGTAAAATAAATTTTTGAAAAGTGAATCTTTTTTTTTCATTGGAATTTATTCTAAAAGGACAAATAAAAAAATGTCCCATGAATGTTGATATATTTCTGATTTTTCAGAATTTTTCAAGATTTTTAGAACACTTTTTAAGAGCTAAAAAACATGACATGAGAACAAGATGGATTTTGCCATAAAACTGGCAGGAATGCAAATGAAAATCTGAAAATGTGCATCCATGGGAATTTTATCATGATAAACAACAACAAAATTGACCATTCAAAATTGGTTGGGGGCATTTTCACCATACTTATTCCGCTAGACCCTTCGGAAAAAAATGATAAAAGCGAACATTTACATTGAAATTCGATGATTTTACCCGAAATAATGATGGGATATGAATTTGGTATGAATTCGTTTATGTACCGAAGAAAAAAAATTTGTACTCAATTAGGTCTTTTGAAAATTGCATCTGACGGTTTGAGCTCAAAATTATGATTGTTTGACTCAAGTTACGTTATCTACTAATTATGTTTTATTTATGTACCAATGGAAGAATTTCCCAGATATCATTAATTTTGTGGAAATGAGACAGAAAATATTGAAAGCACAATTTGGGCGGTTTGATTGGTGAACGTTTAACAGAGACGTACCACAGAGAAAAACGTATCAGCTCGGTAAATTTCAGGTGGAAAACTTGTGAATTTTCAAAACTATAATTTGAGCCGTTTGATAGGTCGAGGTACATGTGTGAATTATGTGTTTTTTTGTACTATCAAGAAGAGTCTATTGTTCTGAGAGAATTAAGGGAAATGGTCATGACAAGAGTGGTAACGACTGATTGCTTCAAAACTATTGGATGCAAAGTATTGGGCTAATCAATGCGCCATCATTTTATGTGATTCCCAAATCAACTCCAATCATAATTATGGGCTCATCACAATAACAATCGATAACCCGTCCCAGAAGGGTCCATGACCTTGAATTAGCATCACAGAGAGGGAGGGGCGGGGTGGATTTGAATAAGGAATGATGCATAAGAAAATTATAGGTTATCCAATTAGAGTCACGGAGTAATTATGCACTCTTCAGACACAGAGCCATGGACTGATTATCCATATGCATCATCATGACTCAGAGAGTTTGAGCGGAAAATGGTTCTTCGATTTATGTGCCCCCAAATCAGGTCGACTAAAGCTCATTGAGGGATACCTGATGATACGTCATTTTTTCGCTCTGATGATTTACTAATTATGTGTCATAGATAATACAACGTGAATCGATTAGGTACCTGATTAGGTTCGATCGAAGAGAGAGGGATTCGAATGACATAGAATTACGTGTTATCCGATTCGAGTTACGGAATAATTGTGTACTCTTCAGACACATTTCAACCGATGCAACTCCCTCTCTCTTCTATTGAACCTCATTCAGGCACATTGGTCTCTCACAGTGAATTGTAATGCAGATACTTAAAAAATTGAGGTAGTTTTATTAGTGAAACATAATCAGCAAAGAATCAAAGTGAAAAATGGGCTCATGATCAGGCACCTATCAAACAGGTTTAGTCGATCATTTTTCTGGCAAGTGTCATTATTATGAGTACGTAATTATGATTCAACCTGATTTGGGGAGCACATAATTTGAAGAGTCATTTTTCGTCCAAACTCGCTGAGTGATGGTGATTCACATAGACAATCAGGCCATCGCTTACTGCTTGTAGAGTACATAATTACTCCGTGACTCGAATCGGATAACACATAATTCTATGATGATTTTTAACCTATCGAATTCCCTCTCTCTTCCATCGAACCTGATCCTGATTGATCTGACGCATCATCAGGTACACCTGAAATCAGATCTAAGTGATCCTCTTACTGGAGGGTACCTTTGTGATGAGTACATAATTATGATTCGACCTGATTTGGGGAGCACATAAATTGAAGAATCATTTTCCGCTGAAACTCTCTGAGTCGTGGTGATTCACACGGACAATCAGTCGTGACTCTGTGCCTGGAGAGTACATAATTACTCCGTGACTCGAATCGAATAATACATAATTCTACGATGCTATTCAAATCCTTCTCTCTTCCATCGAACCGAATTCAGGCACGTCGGTCTCAGGAATGATCTGTAATGTAGGTACCTAATCGATTCATGTTGTTTTATTTGTGGCATATAATCAGTAAATCATTTAAGAGAAAAAATTACGCATCTTCAGGTATACCTCAAACAGGTCTACTCCATCCTCTTACTGGAGGGTATCCTTATGATGAATACATAATTATGATTCGATCTGGTTTGGGGAGCACATTAATCGAAGAGTTATCTACCACTGAAACTCTGAGTTATGGTGATTCACATGGACATTCAGTCCATGGCTGTGTGACTGAAGAGTACGTAAGTACTTCGTGACTCGAATCAGATAACACAATTTTTTAGGCATGTTTCGTTATTTAAAACCTCCCCTCCCCTTCCTCTCTGTGACGCCAATTCATGGCCATGGACCCTTCTGGGATGGATCGTCCGATTGTCATTGTGATGAGCCCATCATTATGATTGGAGTTGATTTGGGAATCACATAAAATGATGACGCATTGATTAGCCCAATTCTTTCGATCCAATGGTTTTAAAGCAATCAGTCGTCACGACTCTTGTCATCGCCATTTCAATTCATTCTCTCAGAACAATAGACTTTTATTGATAGTACAAAAAAACCACATAATTTACACATGTACAAATGTACATCCGCCTATCAAACGGCTCAGATTATAGTTGTGAAAATTCGCCAGTTTTTCACTTGAAATTTACCGAGCCGAAATTTTTTTCTGTGGTAC